CTGCCGACCAGGTTAAATCGATGATGAAGTTAAAGAAGGCACAAGATAACTGATCACATATTCTGAAAAATCCAACGGTTCGTTGAGATTCGCTCCTATCTTGATGGCACCGCGGGTGTTGCTCAACGATAATCTTTAAATGCATATCAATTTTGCCGGTATACCAAGCTCAGACGTACAGATGGCGAGTGTCGGTTTCTTATTCTCGGTTTTTTTTTTTGGGGGGGGATTTGAAGCAGTTTAAGTCTTTGATCTTAAGTTGAGCAACAAGGCTTAAAGCCGCAGTTCTGATAGTTTGATTGTAAGCAGCTCTCACACAATATGCTTAATCGGATATTGTACTCGATGGACACCAGATAGATGTTTCGGTAATTAGCGTGGTTCATAAGGTCGTCTTCCAATGAATAGCATTGAAAAATTTTAAAAATCATCAGAAACCGTTTTTGAGACAAAATTTCTACATTTTATATTTGAATACAATTCCGTTTCCATTTCAATTTCCACTGCTGTATGCATAAACAATAAACTCAGCGCGCGCGTGCTTTCATTTGCAATAATTATCCACTACAACTCAAAGGAATGCGTAATGGTTAATTTTTTTAATCGATTTCGACGATTTGCCCTCACCGCCAACAATTGTTTATACTAAAAGATATTTTAATGCGGCAATTGCGCGCTTTTAAAGGTTATCTCTATGTTTTCTTGTCTTACGCACAGAATGTGTGTGGCTAAATGTGCTTTTCAGCAGCTTTCCTGCCACTTCGTCCATTTATAGACGCCACATGACTTTTCAATGCTTCAGAAATGGAAATCTCGCGGAGAAGTGGTAATAATGGTTTTGTAGATGAATGTCTTGTATATGAATGCTGTAGGCGAGTGATCCAATATTGTATGTAGCTTTTAATTTTTTTTTTTTTTTTTTTTTTTTTTTTTTTTTTTTTTTTTTTTTTTTTTTTTTTTTTTTTTTTTTTTTTTTTTTTTTTTTTTTAATATAGACCTCCGAGTGCATGGTTTTGTTGTCCTTCGTATGAAGACGTAAAAGCCATATATTCTTCAGATTTTTTATTGTTGATTCAATGCTGACGTTCAATGAAGTAAATTATATTTTTATTTCAAAAATTTGCGGCTGGCTTTATGTAGTATGAGTGTGGTGTCTTGCGTTGATTGAAATTCATCACTCTCATTTTATCTTTAAGAATTTGCATACGTCATTGTTATATAAAAAGTATGTTGTTAAAAAGGTAAAAAGATTTCATTTTTATTGGAGAAAATATTCAAGATTTTTAAATAAATAAAAAAATAGTAATGAGATCCGTTTCGACCAGATCTTGAACTATCAACATTTCATCAGTTTCTTAGTGGCTACTACATTTAAAACTTAGAATTTCAAGACAAGTATTTCCAGACTTTATGTAATAATTTGCACAGATATAAAAGGTAACATACATTTATGCAGAAAAATATAGTAAAAGATCCTTCACTCAAACTCGAATGTCGCGAAACTTTCATTGACATTTTCATTTTAATTTTTTTTTTTTGTAAAATTGTTTGCCAAATTTCCAATTTTAGTTTTTTTCCTTTCGTCGAAGTTCGAAGTTAAGGTTTTAACTAAAACACATACTTTTTTCACTTTAGAGGATTCTGTAAGTAAGTTATACCGTAAATGCAGTCGCAACTTTTTTTCGAGGGGTTACTGCAAATGGCGTCGCAATGGCGGAGTTTAAAATGTTATTTTCGAAAAATTTCAGAATTTTTTGTTAATCGTTTCTGCTTGTGACAGTAAAAAAAATTTAATAAAATATTTCATTTTTTATATGAAAAAAAATTTTTGAAAAAATGCTGTTTTTTAGCCGAGGAAACCCATGTAACTCTTTAAGAAATGCTGCTGTTAACAGTCCATGGGATCAAAAAAATCGTTTGCTTAAGTAGATTGTACTACTTCACTACAGTGACTGTCAAAGCGATCTTTAAAACCAACATTTGAAAGATCTGATTAGTTATCTAGTGTCTTTAAATTTAACAATCTGAACCTGTGATAAGGAACGATTAAGCCAAGAAGCTCTGTGCTCAAAGTAAAGCATCAAACAATGATTACGACTTTTCTGATACGAAAAATTACGTAAACCCAACGAAAACGAAAACTTCAACGCATAAAGACAGAGAAAGAAAATTGTTAGAATATTCTAAGATCAGAAAAGAAAAATATTATAATAAAGAATAACCTCTCCGGACACAGTTTCCGTCAACTGGTCGCACTCTACACTGTACGTTTGAGAAACTGCCGGCTTTGCGACATAGCACCGGAAACTCCTAAGCATCCGATTCTAGATTGCATAGAAATCTGTAGTTTCAGGTGCTTGGGTGCATATCTCTGAACCGAGATCACTTCTTAGATAGCGGTGCAAACCTAAATTAAATTCTATTAGATTCTAATTATAATGGAAAGTGAGTTGAAACTTCTGCTTCCAGAGCAAAACAAGCTAATGCAAAAGAATTAGTACTAGAATTGTTTTTATATAATATAAAATGATATCTCATTTTTAATTATTTTTTTCAATTTCACAAGTCTGTATCCCTATAATAAGTATTCATCACATAGACTCGTTTATATCGAAAGCATCTCGCTAACTTTGTTGCTGATTTCACACGTCAATTTGTTGACAAGCGAGCAGCGTACAAAACCAGCAAGCAAATTAATGGCGAATCGAAGACGGCTATGATAACGTTAGAATGTTGGTATCTACAGCTTTATTAGCGAACAAGGAATGTACCTCTGCTCTAACTGTATAAACTCTTCTCTATTTGGACATTAATTGCAAATTTCTGTAATATTAAAATGTAAACGCAATGTAAATTCATTCTAATGTAAACAAAGTCTTTATGGAAATGTGAAAAGTGAAAGACTAATATACTGGCATACAAGCCCACAAAGCCTTGTATTCGCACAATCAAAGCGAATACGAAAAATAATTACAATTCGCAGCGGAAAATATGATTTTTTACCGAAAGTAATGTAAACTATGAAAATTTCAAAGGCAAACGCGCTTTACTTATATAACATACAGGTGATTTGTGGAAATCTTTACAGCGATTGTATGGAAATACATATTGGAAAGAGTAAACTGAGCATTAGAAGTGATAGAAAAAATTAATGGGTTTATGTTAATTTATATGTTCTATAAGCATTTCCTTAATTCATTTTTTAAAATATGCATACCCATTGGCACTTATTTATGCCTGTTGTTTTTATGATGCAAAAATATTTTTGAAACATAGTGGCATTTAATTTATTAGCTTCGATCTGTACAGTACTCAACATGCCTGTAGTTCAATATGTTTAATTAATGCTGTGCGAGTATTTGGGCTAATTAGTCGAAATGTGCTTAGGAGGGAATCATTAATTGTTAATGTGGGTGTATTTGAAAATGTAAATTTTTTGCCTGCATATGAATATTACAGTTATTTCATTGTTCCAGTGTTTTATTTAATTTACCTATTTTTTTTATAACGATATTTTTCATTAATGATCGCTGTCATACAAAGAGATTCCTATGAACACGGCTATACAGTAATTTTATGTGTGAATAAACAATTAAAAACGTTCTGAAAAAAAATAGAAAAAACTGGAATATATTTACCCACAATTCTTCAAAAAATTCTACATCAAGAAATCGGAATAATAATAAATATTTGATAGACCTCAGCGAATCTCATTTACTGCGTGAATGGCAGTGAAAGCTTAACACCAGGGGATGGTGAACCCGATTCCCCCACCGATGACAATGACCCCATAATCTGCGCCGACTGCCGCGGAGTAAGCCTCCTCAACATCGCATATAAGGCTCTATTGAGCGTACTGTGTAAATTATTAAAGCTCACCATCAACAAACTGATCGGACGGGATCGGAGTGTGGCTTCAGACCTGGAAAATCAACAGCTGACCAGATATTCACCATGCGGTAAATTTTTGAGAAACCTGTGAAAAGAGGATCGACACTCTTCGTCGATTTCAAATCTACATTTGACAGTACGGAAAGGCCTTTATACCGCGATGTCTGAATTTGGTATCCTCGCAAAACTAATACGGTTGAGTAAATGCTCCGTCAGGATTGGGAAGTACCTCTCCGAGCCAAACGAGATTTCAGACAAACGGACTGTTTATTGTGCGACTTCTTCAATCTCTTATGATATATACGACGATATTGACATAGTTTAGCAAATTATGTAATAGACAGCGCTGGCTAGGTCATGTCGTCCGAATGGATGAAAACATTCCAGCTCAGAGAGTATTCGATGCAGTACCCGCCGTGGGAACGAAGACCGTTTTAAAAAACCAGGTGGAAAAATACTAGGGTGCACTTGGAATCTACTATTGGACAAAGGAAGAACAACAGACGCGCTGTTGTAAACTCGGCTACAACCGTGTAAGCGGTGTCTACGCTAATGAAGAAGAAGAAAGCCTTCTCTATATCTGTTTAGCAGTCATCAATCAGTTAAATTCAGGTTTAAACAAAAAGGTTTTTTACCGAAAGAGGTAGTCTTGGTTATTGAAAAAAAATTTAAGATCAAACTTCACAGAAACATGAAAACAGGTCATACCAAACCAGGAAGTATTTTTTTTATCGATTCGGTTTAAGCGCGTAGTTTATTTGGATATATCCGAGTCAAGTTTTATCTTTAGTCTTATGGAGTATATTGGTCTGATCTAGCTTCTCATACAACTTATTCATGTATGCTAGCAATTGGAAAGGAGTGCAAGTTTTATTCAAACCGAAAAAGTTGAAAATTTTTGAGGCTTTTAACAGCTCATGGCAACCAGGTTTGTTTAAGGATATACACACATCAAATTTTGTAAGTAAGTACTTTCAGTAAGATTTGCCATTTCATCATGTGACGTTTCACTTTGCCACAACGCTTGAAAATGGTTCAAGATTATTACTCAAATTCAGGTTCTCTGAAAATGTTTTTTGTTCCAATTTTGAAATATTTTCATTATTTACCTTTTGGTCCCGGGTTCAGGAGAGCACTGTTCCACAAGTCACCCCATTGAAATACTGAAATAAGAAGAAGGAATTTAGTGTTTTCATTATAGAAACCGATATTAAAGGCATAATAATAACTACGTATATAATTAAAGTCAAATATTTGTACTATCTACTATATAATTATATTGAAGATATGCTGTAATAAAATACGTATAAAGTTCATATGTATGAATATATACAAACTCCTAAACTATCACTTGTGTGCCACGAAAGCGATCCCACTACTTCACTCGCTCCCGTTGAAGCAAGTGATCCGACTTCTGAATAATACCAGACAGCTAAATAAATAAAGGCGCTTAACGCGTTCGCCCAACAATAATAACATCATCAATATTAGCTTTCAATTTATTGTATATATTATGGCATAATGCTCGCGCTCCTGGGACTTGTAATTAACACTTTATTATTGCCATCATGCAATATTTTTTGCTGCCAGCGTGTTGACTGTATTCCTAGCAGCAATTGATCGTGCGCAAAGCTTAGTAAACAAATATTTATTTGTACTACTATTTATGCGCACGCGCAAATAAGTCGTGGAAATTGATACATATGGCATATCTGATCTACATACAATGAGTAAAAAATCATCGAAGAAATCGCCGAAGACTTCAGAAAGGCAAGTTGTAGGAGTTATCGCGGTTTTAGTAATTTTCAGCATAACCGTTATAAGGAGAGTACATTTGTTTATAATCTGTCTTCGACGATTTTTACAATGCATGAAGAGGTGCCAGAAAGACTGCATTGATTGCAATAACTTTAAACTTTTGTGAAATATGCTCATTAAATCTATGCTCTAGATCAGCACTATTTTAGAGTTTTCCGCGTTGGAGCTGACTGACCCAAAATTCAAAGTCATTTATTAAGTTTTTGAGGTAACGATCTGTAATTTAGCACACGACATTTGCCTACCTAAGAAGGAATATAACTGCCTTACAAAATGATCGATCTATATGAAGTGCTTGTATGGAAAAGAATTTTATTTAACAAGATATCTTCACCAAATTTAACAGGAGCTATAGTTCAAAGCAACGGTACAAACTCGACACAAATTGTTCACATCGGATTACTATAGCATATAGCTGTCATACAAACTGATCAATCAAAATAAAGTCCTTGTATGGAACATTTTTTATTTGATGAGATATGTATGTCCACGAATTTTTATGTGGAATATTTTCTAAAGTGTCTATATTGTTCAGATCGGACTGCTATAACATATAGCTGGCATACAAACTGATCGATCGCAATCAAAATAGAATTTTGTGCTCGCTGGTTTCTATAGGAAATGCACCTGTGATGGGTATTAAAGCTTCGGTGTAGCCGAAGTTAGCATTATATTTATTTTAATTTTTTTGACCCACTCTGTATCCCTGTATACGCACTCCTATTGAAAGTAAAAAATATGTGTATACTGCAATTAAGCAGAAATCAGTTTAAACATAATTTTTTATTTTATTATTATTTTTTTAATGTTTAAAAAAACATTTTTAAAATAAAAAAAATCACTTTTGGACCACCCTGTTTATGAACTCGCGTTAAAAGTACTGCAACTGAATTTTAAGTTAACAAAGGCAATAGTTAAAGAGAAATTACGCACAAAACATTCCACAGCAGGCATTTTCAGCTTCCTTAAATATTTTAATAAAACTCGTTTACAACACACACACATACACATCTTCCACAATTAGCACAAAAGTGTTGCGTTGCCGATTTTTTTTTTTTTTTTTTAATTTTTTTACATTGTGCTAATTAACGTTTTATAAATACACGGTGTATATATGTGCGTACATTTGTAAGTGTGTCAACAATTAAAACGCCCACACTAAAGTTAACAAAAACTATGGTAAATATGAGTAAAATAAAAAAGTAAAAGTGAGAGGTTGTAAATCATAATTATCAGCGATATTATTGAACGGCAAGCGCTTGGCAACACAACAAACACATACAGCCACACAAATGGGGAAAACTAATATGACAGCCACCACATGTTATGAATATATTTAGAACATATTTAGAATAACACTTGAGATACTAGGTCACACTAGTCCACCGAGGGCAGCTTTTGCACAGAGCGCGACAGTTCACCGAGACTGTAAGCGAAAAGTAGGCGCTATTGGTTGGCCTGACGCAGCCGACACGCGGCCACGTGCTCAGCCAGTGATACACGTGTTAATAAAACACTATGCCTAGCCATGCCTAGCCTAGCCTAGCTAAGCGTTAGATAAAGAAATCCATATCGCACAAGCATGCAGCAATAAGCCGGAAATTTCACGAATTTGGAAATGAATCACACTTTGGTCAACAGCTGACGCAAGAAATCAGTTACATATTTTATATTAAAATGCAACTATTTCACCAAAAAAACACAAGTGAATCACTGTTGTATGAGTAAGTATGTAAGTATGTATATTTGTTGGCGTGTACCTTCGATAAAAGATATTTTCAATGTTGTTGAACTGCGATATTCACAGCAACGAGCGTCGGATACGTTAGCGCGGAGTGAATGTACGTACAGAACTACCAGAAGAGCGACGCGCAAGCGACGGATTAGGCGAGCACGATCAGTGGAGATGCGCTGGGGCTGGCGCGGATGGATGGTGAGGAGAAGGTAGTGAAATGGCGCGCGAGCAACCAAGTAGGCGCTGAGCCACCAAGTGTTGTGCTGAGTTGTAGTAAAAAGAGAGAGCGGCGTGTGAGCGCATATGCGGAAAATGAACTGAAAGAGCGAATGCGAAGGTGTAAAAAGCATGCAAAATGTTGCTGAGTTTTTATATTCGATTTGCAATTGATTCGCGAGGTGTGCTAATTTTTCTCGATTTTTTTTTTTTTWTTTTATATATTCTACGCTCCGTAACCAAGTCAATGGCTCGTGGCTGTGCGAGCGATTTGTCGCTAAGTTGTATGTACATATGTACAGGTATATGCACTTGAGTGCGTACGCATGTGTGTGTGGTTATTTGAAAACTTGATCATGACGTCGATATTTGCTGCGCGCCGCTCATTGAAGGTTGACAAGTACGAGTTTCGTGCCGGCTGTCAGCTGTTCGCGCGCCTGCTGATTTTGCATGATTACGCACATACAGGTATATACATGTATACACACGTACAAGCGTGCAAAAAAATGCAAGTACGCACTCAGAAGTTAAAAAATTCTGCACAGTTATCAATTTACCGCGCCAACATGTGGGTGAGTGCGGGTGGGTGTGCCTTGATTTAAAGGCTTGCGCTCATACATACATAAGTACATACATATTGATTAATTAAAGGCATTTTTTTTTGTTCATTCGCTTAATTATTTGCATATTGGCATAAATTATGGCTACGAGGAAAAGCGTAAGCGACAATCAATTTTAATTAGAGTAAAATTTAAATTATTTTCAAACAGACATACATACATATGTACATACATATCCACAAATATGTATATATGTACATATGTATGTACATTTATATTGATATTTATGATTATAGCATTCAATCCAGTTTGAAGTAGATTGTCACTTGTGACAACTTAAGCAGAATGCATAACTAACCATTCCAGCTTTGAGATGCAGATTAAACCGATTGTCAACGAAAGTGTTGCTATAATTGTTGTTCTTGTTATTTTTGATATAGTTGTAGTTGTTCCAAAAACAGCAAAAATGCCTTTTTATTCTCAGAAATGCTAGTGAGTTAACAGTTCTTTACCGTTTATAAAGTAGGCATATCCAAACTCCACTGTCGCAAAGACGTACGCAATATTTACACTACAAATCGGACAGACGAGTCTTGAAACATTTTTGTTAAGTGAAGTTGTCATAACAGCGTTCATAAAATCATATTTTAAAGAAACAAAAATCAAAGTAGGATTTTATATGAAAAAATTTCGTTTATTTGTGGACTTCAGACGATTCTAAACACTATAAATCGAAAGTTACATATGCCTCATGATCTAAATATCTTGTGCTAACCGAAACAAACAGCGCATTACTAAAAAAATACCGCTATCTTTATCTTAAGCTATGTTCTCACCAAAAGTTTTAAGTGCTTGGATTACATTTCAACTCTTCACTAATCTGGCCAGTTCTCACTGCCGTTAGACAGATAATAAAACAGATATTTTAGCCACTCAAGAATTCACATTGCTTAATATTTGTTAAAAGAAAACATTGTTATTCAGTATTTAGTTATAAAAGCCGTTTTCTTTTAAATATTTTCCATATAAAGGAAGTAATGGGCGCATATTTTTATTTTGGAAGTCGATTCGCAGGTGAATTCAGATTCAAATCACATAGGAGACGGGATTAAGAACTGCCATTTTTATATGGCGAAGTCTTGTTAAATTTACAAGATTAGTGAGATAAACTACTCAACAGCCGAAATCTTGTGATTAAGTGTCGGTCTGAACATGGCATTAGTTTGCTAACGTTGACTAGAACATCGATAAAATTTGATGAAATGAATTATATAATTGATCCTAAGTTAAGATCCTCAAAGAGACGCTACCTCTGTTACTTTGTTTACATGTGAGAAAACATCGGGAAAACTCGTAATATTTCGATTTGTGACCGTAAAATAAAATTGAGGTAATTTGTTCACTTCAGTGATAACTCAAAGGAATGGGTAGGCCAACTAGTTCCCAACCACTATATGCGGCAGTTTTGGACTTAGCCACTATTTTTTGTTATCCGTTATCAAAAAGCGATTTTTAAATAAAAAATTCACTGAAATGTGGAGGAGAAATGCGAAGATAAAGATGTTGGTTTCCATTCGACCTATTTTATAGTTTCATAATACCGAAACAGTACTGGAATGTCATAATGTTAAACAAACATACCAATAATTTGCCAGACGTTGGCAAACTCGCAGTCGTAGCCAAAATAGATGTGTATAGAATATCTTAATTAATTAATTCAAATCTTGTTTAAAGCGGTCGTTTGCTCTTCATTAAGATGTATTTGTTTAAAAGTATTTTTTCGTCAGAAATTGATATCCCATGTGATCAAATTTGACCCATATAAACATCAAAA